CCCCCCCCCCCCCCCCCCCCCCCTCCGTCCATTTCATCCTCGTGAACTCAGTACGTCAGCAACGCCTGGAGAGAATGTCTTTAAATCTGGCACAGACGTCCACTTGGACTCAACTGATTAGACTGATTAAAATTTGGTGGGAAAATGTCACAGTGACCTCATAAAACACACTTTTGGCCATAACTCAATAATTAATTTGCAATGAATGTAAATTTCATCTTATCTTATAGAAGGACATTGTGAAGTGATGACATTTTGGACAGAGATGGTCATGAATTTAAACTGCAACTTCACTCGTTGGAAGAGGCAAATAGCCCGCAAGGCGGCAATTCTAGTTTATATATGTTAGACTGTCTATGTTATCTAACAACTTGTAGATATACTTTTTAAAATCTCTATGGGGAGCAAGTAAGGCATTTTTAAATTCTACTCATATTTGCTTTAATTTAAGGGTTCAAAGCTTAGGGTTGGGCATTAGACCAGGGTCTCTGCAAGTGGAATTTTTTTAGTTAGCTGGAATCAGTGGAAGTCAATAGTTACTTGAAAGGTTGGAAAACACATTCCTTTAGACCTTGGATATACTGAAAGGCACTGTAGACTGACACTAAAATATTTTTAAAGGGATCGTTTCAGTAATTTCTTACAATTCACTAACGATAACGTCAGGGATCCAGATGGCATCAGATGACAGTGAGATATCATTGATGCCATCAAACTCCTCTGGGTCCCAAACCAGGAACTCATCTGTCCAGATCTGAAAGCAGAGCAGTATGTGTGTTTTAAAATTATATAGTTTAGGAATTTCAATGGAAAATCAAATATTTACAAAATAATTTAAAGCAAAAATTTGACTTTAGTGCTTGATTTTTTTTGTAATCATGAAGCGTAATCCAATCGATACGACATAATTCACACGTGTGTAGAGAGTTATTGTAAATTCACAAGATTTGCAGCATATCGTCAAGAAATGTTTCATTGAAAACCCACTGTGTTGCATAAGTTGTTTAAAGCTTAAGGTAGAAGTCAGTCACTGAGGAGGTAGATAATCACAGCTGTTTTAATTTTAAAAATGTGGTTTTTAAGGAGAAGGAAAAGGCTTGTTTCCTGAAGCTTTACAATAAGAAGTTAAAAGGAAACTGAGACGCCACCCACCTGTCTTTGCCAAATACTGGTAGTTATGCTCTGGGTCTTTCCATCCTGCAGAAAGGAGAAAACCGTAATGATACCTAATAGATGATTTTAAATTGAGGCTACTGTGTGGACTTTGATTATATCGGATCTCTAACCGGTGGAGTAAAAAAAGCAGAATTTTATCAGCAGTGTGAGCAGAGTGCTTTCACAGCATGCATACCACATTAAGGATGGACTGCAGGATGAGGTCTATGTAGACAGTGGTAGGAGTGGTCCAGTTGTGAACAGGTCGAACTCCGCAGTCATATTTCCTGAGGAGGGTCCTGGTCAGCTGGTTCAGAGCTGATCTCTTTGGCTTCTCTGGCACACATTTAGCCAGATGAGCTGAAAGACAAAGATAACCACCCAGACCAGCTCCAGTTCACTGTGTGGCAATGTGCTTGTGGTAATTTGATTAATTGCTAATTTGTTTAGTGATGAAGCATGAAACTGTAACGTGGGGGTCTCAGGGTCTCTTACCCAATTAGTCCAGCTTTGCTAAAAGGTTTTGGGATGCATCAGTTGCTCTATTTAATATGGTACAGTGCATAGTGGTGGTAAATGTGTTGTTAATGATTGAAAGTTTATCACATTTTTACATTGACAGGCCTAATAGAAATTAAGTTTGTTTTTATGAGTCAGAATTTTTTTTTAAGGCCAAACACTTTACATGTGGGCTTTGTATAGCTTTACAATTCTGAAACGTTTTATACAATAATATGTATTTGCTTACTTGGTGGTTGTGGTGCTTCAAATGCAATGTTTTAAAACAGTACGGTTTGGAAATTGAGAAATTACTAAAACTGAATCTGTGAGAGAACGGATCAAATATAAGTAAAATAAGCAATGAGTCATAGAGCTGCCACACTAAAAAAGGAGCAAACAATTTTGTTCAAACTATCTAAAAACTTTATAGCCAGCTTTAGTTTAATGGGAAATTTTACAAAGCAGAAATGGTTGCAACACAAACATGCAGGCTATTTTAAACTTACAAGTGAATACCTCATACTATTCATGGAAATGCCTTGTATCTTTAGCCAAAAGGAGTAGCTTACCTGAGAGCAACAGAGTCAGCCAAATGAGAGACATCAAGTTCACAGAAATCAGCCTTCCAAAAGACAGATGTTATCCAGATGTCACATCAAAACATCTCCTCTGTCAACACAAAAATATCCACAGTTTCAAGAGTAGCGGTACTCGGTGTAGGGGAAGAACAATGAACAGGGTAGTGCAGACATTTTGGTGGCGCTGGTATTGATTTTCCACTGCCCGGGTAAGGTGATACATATAATAATGACTCCCTGAAGGGTTGTTTAGTGCCAGTGTATTGCTTCATTACAGAGGAGCATAAACACTTAGGTATCTGTTATTTTAAAGCTGTTTTAACCCAGCTGAACACACCAAATGGAGGAAGTCATGATGCAATCTAAACTTCCAATTAACTAGTTGTTCCATCTCCTTTCCTTCTTGTGAAGTTTGTCGTATTTACAGTTCTCCATTAACTTCCCTAACACCTTTATTCAAAATCAAAGATCACAAAGCTTCTAAAGATACCAAAAGTGAGAGTAATGTGTTTGGAATTATGCACAAGACATATAGACTGCATTCAAAATCTTACTTTAGTAAAAGTAAAAAAGTATTAGCAGCAGAATATACTAAAACTACCAAAAGTATTATTATTGGAGTATAAATAGTGATGCATTTATGTGTTCATCACCTTAATCTTGCAGCTGGTAAAGGTGGGGTTCATTTGAGTTATTACTTTAAATACTGCTGCCTAGCATAACCTATAGCCTAATAACACATCATCATTTATTAGTTAATTTACAATTTATATTCATGACAGGTAGGCCTAACTACATTTGTTAAATACATGTAGTGGAGTAAAATGTTTAATATTTGCTGCTGAATTGGAGTGTAGTAAGTAGGATAAAATGAAAATACTTAAGTAAAGTACAAGTGGGTATTGAGTTAAAGACTTATACCCCACCACAAATCATCCGGGTATTAAGGAAGTCTGTCACTGCATTGCATTAAGAACTGTCCTGTCACGTTAATTGTGTAAGAGAGGGCGCGTGCTTTAGCGATCGCTCTCGCCCACGCGCATGTCCTAACAGGTGAGCGCGCGCGCAGCTAGTCGCTCTCTGAGATTGTGACAGATGGAGCTGGTTTGACGCGGAGTCGGGGTTTGAAAGCGTTTGGTGAAAACAGGAAGAAATCCACGTCTTTTCTTTTTTCATCTGCAATGAGAGGTGAACAGACTGAAGATGGAGAGAACTCAGCGAACTCGGTGAGCCCAAAGGATGACGGAACCAACATAACAAAGTGACATTTGCATCGGAATGCACGAGGAACTAACGTTAACACTAACCCCAATGATGTGCGAAGGCCAAAGCTGTACTAAAAATCTGGAATTTTAAAGTTACTTTTAACATCGTTTTTATTTAAACACTAGGTAGAAAAAAAAAATAAAAAAGATTAACATAATATTTAGAAAAGAAAGAAAATACACCAAGAAGCTCGTATTCTAGTCAAATTTGAATTTTGGAAATTAATTTCTTAAGCTGCATATTTACATGCTAAATTACTGGCATTTTGGTTTGAAGGCAAATTCAGCGAATATGACAAACAAATGTCTGATAAATAAAATGTTCACATTTTACGTCTGATGTCCTCAGTTGCTAGTCTCATAGGACACATGATTTATCAGTACCATATTCCATTAAATAACTACATCATTCTGGAGTGTAACACTTCATTTAATCAGTATTTGGCTCTGTAGCCATTAAAGCAGCCTTCAGCTCTATCCATCGGCATTTCTAATTAACCATTCCAGTAGACAGTCATTGAGCCAAGCTTCTAATTATGTTATGTACTAAAGGTTAGGGTTTACATACAGTAGAACTTCCGTTATACTCTTTGTTTGCCTCATTTTTCTATTTGGTATTGACATAGGTGTGTGTGTGAGAGAGAGACCCAGTGCCTTAGTCACTCTGGTCTGGTGGCATGGTGAGTGGAATGATAAACAGAAGCCTGTGCTATCCATGTCAGCAACCTAAAATAGAGGCTAACTAAGAGGGTCTCAGATAGCCCCAGGGCTCCATATAAGTCTGGTCAGCCTGCTCTTGGCATCCTGTGTGTGTGTGTGTGTGTGTGTGTGTGTGTGTGAGTGAGAGATACCCTGACATGTACACCTGCTGTTGGGTTAGCAGGCTTTATATAGCGCCGCTCACTCAGCAGGCTTATGTTATTACTTTCCAATACTTTATGTCTATGAGGTCTAAACATATGACGGCTTTTGAGAGTTTGTGTTTACAAATGTTGATGACCTGTTCAAAGGTGGATGATGGGATGTTGCCATGTTGGGAAGCATTTGGTTTCCCCCCACCACATTTATTGTAGTGTTTGAGTTTAGTTTAAAGGAAACGATTAGGCTGATATAGATTATTCAACATATCACCCTTACCAAGAATACCCTTGTAAAACACAAAAAGCCTTTTTTTATAATTTTCAATAAGAAAAATACACTTATTTGTCAGTGCAGTAAATATTAAGCTACCGCGAGCAGCCAGTTAGCTAAGCTTGGCTGGAAACTGGGGGAAACAGCTAGTCTGGCTTTGTCCAAAACACGGTCCGCCTACCAGCATCTCTGACGTGTAAAAAGTACAATTTGCCGTTTTATGAGGGGGTTATGTGCTTGACTATTTGGTGGCTGAAACTAGTGTCTTCCTAGAGGAATCGGTCCATCATCAATCCTCTCATCTAACGCTCGGTAAGAAAGCGACTATAAGCATATTTCAAAAAATGTGTTCAATGCTGCTGACTGAAGCCGCTGAGTTTGGCTCTGTTTCATTAAGCCATTGTCAGGACCCAGCTGACATGTGGACCTCATATAGGCATGACGATGTTGACATTTGGACATTTGTCCTTCAGCTCCATATAGACCCCATGTGTGTCTGCACACTGGGTCACAGGCTATAAGTGAGGCCCACGCATATCCTCAGGTGTTCCCAAGAACAGCATGTGGGACAAGGTGGACTGCAAGTGGGACTTTCTTGGGCAAAAAGTGGGATATCTGCTTGTTACCTCAAGGGGATAGCCCACTTGTGGCCCAGTTTTGTCCATTTGGTCAGCCCAAATGGGAGACAAATGCCACTCCATCACTAACCCAAACTATGTGAGTACCACAAAGGACTTGTTGGCTGGAATGCTCCAAGTATCTCAAGCTTGACCATCGTTTCCCTTTTGTCCAATCCTTTCACTCAGCAGAGCAAAATCCTGATGAACCAGCTGAGGGAGATCACTGGCATCCAGGACCCTCAGATCCTCTACAAAGCTTTGAATGTAAGACCTAAGAACTCATCGTCAGCTTTTAGGAGACAATGGATGGTGGCTCCCTTGTGTGTACTATGTTATTTTACTACAATGCAAGCAAGTGAATGGCCTTTCTGTGTAACTTAATCAAAGCACATAATAAGACATAGGCAACTGTTTCATTACACAGATTCCAGTTGACCAAAAGGCATTTTTGTTAGATCTGTTGAGCTAAACAAATTTGCAATTCCTACAGTATGCTGTAAGACCACTTATGACTAAGATAACTTACTGATTAACATTACTATCCAACTCCTCTTTAGTTTAATTTAGTTGACAGTGATCACACTTATCCTCAACCCCCCCTATGACATGGGGGACATTTCAGAAATGATGTTACAGCCAAAATCCCAAATTCAAGTATTTGAGCCTTAGCAGTTGTGGTGTATTAAATGTAAACATTAGCCGGAGGATGGTGTGAGAGAACAGGGTCTTTGGTGACCATTGGTGTTTATTATGTTGTGAGCGTAAACGTGTTAAGAGATGTGTTAAGACAGACCATCCTGTGGAGAACATGAAAGTCTATTCTAAATGTCATGGGAATCCATCCCTAGAGTCATACTGCTAGTTGGCTAAAAAAACATAGCCCTTGCTGTTATTGTGTAATTAATGTTAAAGGAACACTCTTTGATTACATTAAAAGCACCCCCTGGGCGCCTAGTTTCCACCCCAGCACACCGCTTATGTTTTGAAACACAACTGCAAATGAAAAAATCCCTAGGAGCTTGAGTTAATAGGAGCCTCATAAAAGTGATAATTGACAAGCAGTACAATAAACAGTCTGGCTGACTGTTGTTCAGGCATCATCCAACCTGTTGCACCAGGGGCAGACAGAGAAACAGCAGGAGCTCACAGGTTCGGGAGGGGCACGTGCTCTCAGAGTTCTATACAAAATTAGAAATGGTTGTCTACTGCTGGTTTCCAACACAAAAAGGGTGCTGTGTTCCCTTAATTAGGCTAGTTAACTGTATCTAAGTACATGCTTGTATTATTTTAATTACTCGGTGGTTGCTATATTTGTATTTGCATGCATTTCTTATTTGCTTATTTTGCTCTTGTGATGTATGGTATTGCTACATATTCTGCAGATTAATGATATCTAGATATGTCGGGCCTTATCTTTTCCTTGTCCCCTCTCTTTAAGGACAGTCAGGGGGACATTGGAAATGCTGTTGGACTGCTGACAACCCAGTCTGCAGAGGTTCAGGATCCTGGAGAACCACAGGAGTTGGGGACCTCTGCGGAGGCCTGGGAGGGCCAGAAAGGTACATTGGGACAAAACAAGCGTGCACAAAATTCTGACTACATTTACTTGTTAGGATCATTTGTAGGCCTTTTCAGATATTGAATCTGAAACACTCATTTGTTCATTTATGTGTTAAAGTTTATGTAATCTATTGAAACAGTTTTTACTAGTGAGATCTTGCTGACACACTGCTGTCTGTTTTGTCAGGACTCCCTAAGGATGAACTGCAGACGGCCATAGAACTCAGCCTGCAGGAGTCCCACAATGCCCAGGAAGAGGAGAGAGAATTTAATAGGTACAAGAGAACCGGCTTTTCATGCAATGCTTCTTTGTTACTGGTGACTGTGATTTTTTTATTTTTTATTTACTGCTGACTTAAAGTATGAAAATGGAGACAGTAGATTTTCCACTGGAAACAACAGAAGGGAATATGAAAGACTCAGCTGTTTCATATTCTCTGTACGTGTATAAATCAACCTGAAGCCTTGTCGAGCAGAGGTTGAAACAAATGGGCTGAAAGGCTAAAACAGATGCATTTACTTTGTAGCCACACTTGGTTCTGGGGTTGGCAATGACGGTGAGTCGGTCGGTCGCTCCACCACTTTTGGTAAAGACAGAAATATCTCAATACCGTAATAACATTTTGTACAGACATTCATAAGCTTGTTATTGATGATCAGCTGACTTTTCATCAAGTCACACTTGCAGATCAAAGTTTTTAGTCATCCACTGGCTCAAAATGTGATGCAGTCATTAATAATTTACACACAATGAATAATAATGACTTATGTGAACCCCTGATTCTGTGTCTAGCGCAACCATCATTCTTTGGTTAATGACCAAATACCTGCATAAATCATGACATTCTTATCAGCTGTACTTTGTGTTTTGTGCTAAAATAGAAATGCATTCATGATAATCCTCACCTGCTAAACATCAGCATGGTAATAATTTAGCATGCATTTGTCCCTGTCTCATGACACAGTTTGTGTTTTCCTGAGAGATTTAGTCTTCTTATTCAACCTCTGCACAGGACAGGGAGTCTTAACTAAGTCCACCTGTGTTTAATACAGTTGTCAGTTCAGTGCTTTGAAATGGGTAATTTGATGTACTGCAGGGCTCTGGAGGCCAGTGTAGAGGAGAATGCAGCGAGAATGAAGAGGAAGAGATGTGAAGCCCAGAGTGATATGTGCAACCCTGCAGAGTGGATCCGTCAGGACGACTGGCCCGTGGGCATTCGCAATGTTGGCAACACCTGCTGGTTCAGTGCCGTCATCCAGGTGAGAATAAGTGTGAAAGATTGGTTACATCAAAGTGATGGGGATGTACTCTGCTTTGACACATATCAGATACAGTCCCATATGTTTCCTTTTTGTTTTCTCTAACCTCTGTACATAACATTAGTAGTGCCTTGTAATATATATAGTAAATATATTATAACACATAGCATATAGTCTGTTAAGCGCACTAGTGTCCTAGTGTTCTAACAGTGTCTCATATCCTGGTGCTGCTAAAACTTAAAATAGCTCTCGCACTTGGCTGAACAAACATTTATAGACTTGGAGTTTCCCTTCCAAGATATCTAACTTTAGTCTGTCAGAGGCGTCGCACCCATAGACTGTATAAAATTTGGACGAAGTCTCCGTGACGTCACCGATAGGTTTCTGAAGAGCCAAAGTGAAGCTCAAAGTGAGTGTTTTTTCCAACCAGAAGTGACCATATTTGGGCGAGAGGATGGACCTGCGGAAGATCGAGGCTCGATGAGGGCAGGTCTCGTTAGCAAAACAAATGCTAAGTTAGCACCATTTAGCTAGCTTTTGTTAGCCAGGTGCATCGTGAACAACTGTGATATTAATTGGGATGTCTTGTTTGTACCTATCGGAAAAACAAACAAACAGCTGACTCCTTAAAGTGTCTAGTAGTACAACCAGTTCAGCTAACAAGCCAGGTATGGTGAGCGTAGACAGTACTGATACCTGCTAATTGAATAATACTAGAATTTCACTCTCTGAACAAACTGGAGCACAGACTCGTTCAACCAATCAATTTATTTGTCATATAAAATCATACAAGGTACAATTCCACTGAACACAACTGTGCATTATTCACCATAAAACACAGCCTCCTGCAATTTTTCTTGCATAACTAAGCCTCACTTTTCTGTCTCATCTCTTCACTTACTAATGCTAATAGAGTTATTGGAAACATCAGGAAGAAAGGAAGAAGGTGTGGGGATATTTCTGCAAAATGAGAACATTACTCTGAGCTGCGAATTCTATTACAACTCCATTCCAAACTGAATCGGGTCGTTCGGCAGAAACTGGAGCCCCCCCCCATTGAGATGCACAGGCTGTGCACTAGCAAGTGATGTGATGATGGAGCGAGCAGTGGACATCCTGGAATGGACAGAGAGGAGACACTGATTGTTTGTCTTTGTTGAACTCAGATTTGTCACTACATCGATTTAGAAGTCAAACCACCAAAGGACAGGGTTTATTGTCTGGGAATAGAAAAGGGGAAATGAGGCAGTGTTGTTTGAATACAAATGGTGTTGAAATGATAGCCTTTTGTTTTTGTTTTTGTTTTCTGGTGTCGATACTGTTTGTTACAATTGAACTGGTTGTTGTAGATTCAACAGAGCCCGAATCTTGATAAAGCAGTCTCCCTTTAAAAAGTAATTATGCTATCAGATTGAGGCTGAGTGACCACATCATTCAGTTGTCAGCTCATATTCCCTCTGTTATCCTTCGTGGTATACATTACAGTAAAATGGAGATAAGCCATAATTGAATTTCCTACTTAAATGGAAATTTATATATCAAGATATTCATAAGTGCTCAGTAGCTTCGCTCACCACCACCACACATACTCTTATGTGTCATGAGAGGATCTGACTGCGATTAATGTATTTAGTTTATCACGAGTAACAGAAGCAGCTCATAACTAATTGACATGGTTGATGTGTCTGAGCATTATGTGTGAAATGAAATAAGAATACCATCAAATTCAGGATTGATTTTTTCAAAATATGTTCTCCTACAGTTACTAGTATAATAGTAAGACACTAGTATCCTTTAAGGTTAAGGAAATATTCTATTTTATAATAATATAAACTATGATTTTATTAAAACTACTAGAAAAATAGAAATTTGCACCTCATTCATTTGATTGAAGAATCAATCTGATGAACAAAAAAAACCTTATTTTTGATAAGAAGTTGTGCTGTATACAACCAGGGAAATGCTGTTCTTAGCCCAACATCAATGCTGAGTGCTTGCAATCTAACCCCACTACCTACTCTCATGCTTTTTGCCTCAAAGTCAGAGTACATTTCCCGTACGTCTTGTTTCCCAAAACCATCTGAAAACTGAGATGATAGTAAATCCTTGTGAAGCTTATTAACAGGTTTCTCCCGAAGGCATCGTAACATTATAGAAAAGATTACAGATTAATGAGTGTGTCCTACCCACTAGTAGAAGGTTTGGAGCATCTTAAGAAGCTCTGTGTCTTGCAGGAAGGACCGCAAACTACATGTTTCATTAAAGTCAGAAAACCACTTTTTACTTATTGGTAATTTCCCATTTTATTGTCATCTAAATCTGTTAAAACTCCCATGTAGTATCTGGTGAAACATATCAATGTAAGGCTAAATATCATTGACTGTGTTGTTCGAGGAACAAGTTTCTTCCTTGATCTTTCTAAGTTATACCACGACTGCAATGCATGACCACTGTTATCATGATTTGCCAACATCTGACCTTAACCGGTCCTTGTTTTGTTGTCTTGTTGCAGTCACTGTTCCACCTGCCCGTGTTCAGGAGGCTGGTTCTCAGCTACCATCTGTCTGAGCGAATACTGGAGAAGTGTAAGAGCCATTCTGTGAGTAAACTCATGCACAACAGTTGGTTACTCTGCCACTGCCGTTTTCACAGGAGATTTGTTTGAATAATTTCATGTTAAAACGTCTAATTCATACACATAAACATAAGAGGTGATCAAGCTGTGGAGATATTCTGTTATTATGAACATAGCCACCATGTGTTAGTGTAACAGGGGTGAAGTTTGACTCTGAACTTGTGTTAACAGGACAAGAGGAACATAGCTTTCATGCAGGAGCTGCGCTGTCTATTTGCTCTCATGGTGGGCTCCACCCGCAGGTTTGTGGATCCTTCTGCTGCTGTGGAGTTATTGCGAGACGCCTTCAGGACCACCGAGGCCCAACAGGTACAGCACTTAACTTAAGGAGAGCTTAAAGTGTAGACAGGCTGCATCCTGTGATGGGAGGCCCCGTGTCTTAACTGCCTTCCCAGAGTGCGCACTGATGAGGTGAGAAGTGGGCAATTTTCTTAGCCAGATGTTGAGATGAGGTTGAAGCCCTTAGGAACATTTTTTTTTTTTTTGTTAAGCTACTGTTTCCAAGATCAAGAATCAACTCATGTGACTTTATTAATTCTTTGACCCTGACTTAATCCTTTCCTATTACAACTTCACATCTTATCTTATCTCTTGTCTTCATTTCAGGATGTCAGTGAGTTTTCCCACAAACTGCTTGACTGGCTAGAGGATGCATTTCAGCTGGCTGCCAATGAGTAAGTTATATGTTGATGTCATCCACATTATTCTCTCTTTGTGTGCTGAATTACAATAATATAATGTCATGTTTTGCTTTCAGTAAGGTAGAAGACAAACAGAAAAACCCCATGGTCCAGCTTTTCTATGGTACCTTCGTGACAGAAAGAAGACATGAGGGTATGAGTTTTATATTAGTGTTTGTCACAGTGACATCAATATGACTTCTGTTCTCAGTCACTCACATCTATGTGACTCTGCTTAGGTAAGACGTTGTGTAATATCGAGCAGTTTGGCCAGTACCCCCTGCAAGTCAACGGCTTCAATAACCTGGATGAATGCCTGGAAGGTGCTATGGTTGAGAAAGAGATCGAGTCTCTGCATTCAGATCCCGGCGTCACATCTGGCCGTGAGGTAAACAATTTCAACAACCGACTAACAATAGAATTTCTAGGTATGTGGTATTTTCTGATTCTTATCAGGTGTCATATTTTCTCTTGGTTGTAGAGATGGTTCAAAACGTTACCACCAGTCTTGACATTTGAACTGTCTAGATTTGAATTCAACACCCAGCTGGGTCGTCCTGAAAAGATACACAAGAAACTGGAGTTCCCACAAATCATTTATATGGACAGGTGAGCTTTGTACAGATATCACAATCATACATGTGTACATTCCTACAGTTTCCCTTGTTTCTACGGGGCAAAAGGAGCTTCCACAGTATATAACTTTAAAGGACGCATGCCTGCACCACTTTTCACTAGGATTATCTCACAAACTTATGCCATCATAGGGCTGAGTGTATTACAAATGTATCGGAAAAAAATCAAGGTTGTTGCTTGTCTATTCAGATGTTACAACAAATCTTTCACACATGTACTGATCAGTTTTGGGAATTGCCTGATTTTTCTATGTACAGATATCTTCACAATAACATAGAACAGACCCATGAGAGGAGAGGAGAAGTGAAAAAACTCAAGGATCAACTAGCTGCCCTTCAACAGAAACTCGAGTGGTAAGTTACCTCTTAAAGCTGAGATGTGACTTTTAAACCTCTCTGCGTTTTGGAAACAAATCTTGTACAAATCGTGTCCTGTCTTTATTAACAGCTACAAAAACTATGGCTCTGGACCTACCAAGTATCCTCTGGCTGACATGCTGCAGTTTGTGCTGGAGTTCGCTACCACCAAGCCCACAAGTGTTTCCCCGGCTGAAGATCTGAGACCAGCTTCTCCGACTCCTGCAAGCCACCCCCTTAGTGAAGTCATCTCCAAAGACAACAGGTTGAGTACACAGAGGACCAGAGAACTGTACGAGCCAAGGCAATGGCCCCTGAATAAATTACTGTCGACAGACTTTTACTAGCACAGCATAAACAGACCAAAGTTCCTTCTTTACGAAACTTACATTACACCGAAACATTCTCATTCTCATTTCCCAGTGAACCAGAAGACACAGATTCATTGGACGGTCCGGTTTCCAGTGTTTCCAGTTGTCAGCGGACCCCCATATACAAGCCCTTCACCCAGTGCAGACTCCCGGTTGACTGCCCACCACACCCAGCCCCCCACAGCGTCACTGAAGAAGAGCTGCTCTTTGTGAAGACCTGCCTGCAGCGTTGGAGGACAGAAGTAGAGAATGACATAAATGGTATGCTTCTATTACAGTGTACACGCTAACATTGCTTTTAAATAAAGGTCTATAGAATATAGTCTTGATGTTCTTTAGCTATCTTAGCAGCATGGGCTCTGTTTTTGGGCTCTTTAGCTGCAAAATGCTTTTCCCAGGAAATAGATTATATGTCAATTGTCAAGCCCTGCTCTCCCAAACTGTCCTTTTATGAGGAAAATATTGGGTAAAAGAAATAAAAAAACCAAAAAGAAATTGATTTTCCCATCGCTATATGTGTACTTAATTTCTGTGGTTTCTTTCTGTGTTTTGTTTTTGTGTGTACGTGTGTCAGAGCTAAAGGCCAGTATTGACAGGCTCACTCAGACGCTGGAGGGCATGTACATAGACAACTGTCTCTGCCAGGTAAGACTTACACTCGCCTCATTCACTCTGACAAACAGCAATTCAATCACATGTTTTACAACTGGAGCTGCAGAAAGTGCATCGACGGAGATTAGATGAAACTGTATTGATCTCCGTGGAGGAACAGAAAATAATGTAACGTAAACAAGTCAACAGAATACCAATAAGATACAAGCAGATCTGATGAATGTTATACTGCATTGAATGCAGAGCTGCACAGTCACATCTCAGTAGTCTATATTGATCCCAATGCTGTAGGTGTTTTGTACAGTGGCGATTCAACGCTGTCTCCCACTGTCCTAATATTTAGGCACCCTACAGACTCCATGCAGTGCTCGTCCATGAAGGCCAGGCATCAGCAGGCCATTACTGGGCCTACATTTATGACCATGCCAACAAGCGCTGGATGAAGTACAATGATGTAAGCATCACCGAGTCATCATGGGAGGAGCTGGAGCGAGACTCCTTTGGTGGAATGACCAACGCCAGTGCCTACTGCCTGATGTACATTGATGACAGGTTACCCAACCTTGTCACAGGTACATCTCTGTGTGTTTTTCAGTTATATGATTTGATTTTATCAGATTAGATTCATTTTTGAATAATCCTAGATTGAATGTCGGATGTGTGTTTTTGTCCATGTTTTTGTCCATGTTTGTCAGAAAGCATTCATAAATAATGTTCTTCCTTGCAAACAAGAAACAGGATTATGTGTGCAAGGGAGTAAAAACAACACACAATCATGTAAAAAAGAGTGCTTATCAATTATAGAAGTTAAAAGAATACTTACATATTTTTAATGTAGCTTTGACTCAGCTAACCTCATGTTTAAAGGCTATTCCATAATGTTAGAAACTATAACAGTAAAAGCTCAGTCCCTGTCTGTAATAAAAATGTCACTAATTATGTATTATGAACAGTGGCATATGGAAAAATGCCATCGTGTGTAATAACAATTAACTAATTCTCCTGTCATTTCTTAAGTACTTACTGTCAGTATGTGGATTGTTTTGTGTAAGTCTATTACTGACACTACCCCACATCCATCTAGAAGACACAGATGATGAGACCGGCCAGGTGCTGCATGGCATGGACTCCCTGCCATCCGTCCTCAGACGCTACGTCCATGAAGACAACCGCTGGTTCCAGCAGGAGCTCAGTGAATGGGAGGAGCAGTTCTGCCAGACCGCCACCCCACAGGGAGAGTCTACAGCCTCTGCAGAGCCCCCAAACCCCAGTCCAGTCAATGTACACCAAACACCAGTTGAGCCAGCACCCCAGTCAGGACCAACCACTGAGGAGCTGGAGCAGGGAGCTTCTTCAGAGCCAGAACCAGACACAGAAGCGGCGAAAGACCCAGAGCCGGATCCCAGAGAGAAGCCTGAAGGTCTGTAGTGGTGGCTAGAGAAAAGGGAATGGGGCAAGGTTTTTATAGCCACTGTACAAGTAAAACTGACTACTGAACAGTACATTTTATCAGTCATGTGTGCGCTCTCACAGTCTCTCTCCTGTCTCTTTTTTTGACCCCAAAAGAACTTGAATTAACGCCACCACCATTACCCCAGAGCCCCGGCTGCCAGCCAGACGATACCAGCAGTGCGGCAGTCACTGACACCACGGGGCCCAGCCAGGGCTGCACCTCGGCTGAGAGAGAGCTTCAGTGTCAGGTGGGCAAGTCTGTGACTCCCCTGGGCAAGTTCTGCTATGCCCCCTGTAGAATATGGGTCAGTAATTCTAGGCCACAAAAATAAAGTGTGTACATCTGGGTCAAGGATATCATTTCACCACTTAGCATAGCAATGGAGGTCCAGGCTTAATGTCAGGCAGGGTGTAGAGAGTAATGCACAGATAAACTAAAGGTTAGGAGTGATTACTGCTATCAGCGGCTTTATTTGACAGTCAGTAGCTTGTTCAGAGGCATATCATATAATTTACACTTTATCACTTTTAGTTTCCGTTGTTGGAAAATATTCAGAAACACCAGTGCAGTTCAATACAACCTTGCATAGTCTATCCATAATTATTATTTTTTATTTTTTATTTTTTTTAACCTACAATGGCCCTATTTACACCATTAAATGAATCAGCACTTCTGTCAACAGAACATGATTATAAGCCTCATAAATATAAGATTTATTGTAAGCTGTTTCATTAGATGGCATTAAATAAAGTGGTAAACTACTTCATTACCACTTGTGTCCTGTCGACATATCGGGAGCTCCATTTGACACATTGATTTATCACATGCAAATGAATATTATTCCCTAAGTGTATTTCCAAATGTATTCAGCTGCAGACTGTCTGCTGACCCACCTGACTTTATATAATAAGATCAACCTTTCACTGGATACAAGGAGCTATTTTCAATTTCCTTTGCCAATTTGTTCACCTGTTCACCGTTAAAATAGAAACACGTGCTCCACAACATTTTCCAGACTTTGCTTCACAGGTGTTTAAAATGCATACAGATGTGTAGATGAGGGTGGGTGTATTTCTACATGGAGGCACACTATGCAAAGCCCTGAAGAGGATTAGCGGATATATAGATAATGTATGGATGGAAGCCATAGTAATGTGCGTCTTGTTTCTCTGTCAAGACTTCTGGCCCTGAAGCAGAGCTCAGTAACCCGACACCATCTGACCTCCAAGTGAAGAAGGACGACACACAGGCAGCAGGCCTTGGCCCTCAAGCTGAAAGCGAGCCAGAGGCTTCCAGAGAGGCACCTGAACATGAAGCGAAGCAGCAGCAGGAGGAGGAGAAGGAGGCGCAGGAGGTCCCGGCCAGACAGCGACAGACTGAGGACGAGGTCTCAGAAGTGGAGATCCCCAACGTGGGCAGGATCATGGTCAGAGCTGATGCTGATGGATACAATGAAGAGGTCAGAATGTGTTATCATGAATAAATAAATGAAATAGAAGAAAGGATTTGTCTATTCCGAGTCTTCCGGGATGCAGCTATTTTTTTTTTTACTCCTTTAATACATTATTATATTTTACCTTAGACTTAAGATGTGAATGCTTTTTTTGTCAACTTGCCACGAGGTTTACTTTTTCAGATCTGATGTTACATTTATGACACCACCTTATAGATAGTTCCTCAATTAATAATTTAAAAAAATACCCCCCCAACTCAAACACAGAAATTAAAATGAAGGCCTGTACGTGTAAGCTGTTCCTGCTGCTCATTCACAGCTTTTTGTCTAAATGTTGCTGTTTTACAGTTTTAGCTTCTGACTTTAAGGATGTTTTCCATCTCTGACACGATCACCACCAGAGTCCTATTTGAGCAAAAATATATACAATACGTTTGCAACATCCCAGAATGTGGACATGTGTGAAGCCCTCAACAGTTCAGGGTCTTTACACAGACATAATGAGCAGCTTTCATTCTCAAATGGTTTGCTGCCCAGCTGGTGTTATAATCTCATCTTCCTCCTCATTTCCCAGATGATGCTGACTCCAGCTATGCAGGGCGTCATTCTAGCCATAGCCAAGGCCAGGCAAACCTTCGATAAGGAAGGCCCTGAGGCTGGCCTCATCAAGGTATGTATTGCATCTCACATTCAAATCTACATTTCACAAAATAATTAAATAATCATGTTTTCTGAAATAGTTTTGCCACATTGCTACATTAAACTGCTTCCTTTACATTTAAGAGCAATCTTTCCTCTCTATATAGTTTTGAATAGTTATTTTTGTCCCACATATTTATTAGAATTAAGAACAGAAAAACATTCAGATGTAATGAGGTTAATTCATTCATTCATCAACACAGAACAGAACGTGTACTGTATTGAATAACATTAGGCTTATAAGAGGATAAAAGGGCTCCTAAAGAAAAGCAGATATTAAATTAACTGTTCCAGATGTAAGAAGGTCAACGTCAATAACAAGATGAGCGTTTTAACCTCGTCTTTGAGCATTTTAGACTCATGAAATCCAAAATCCCTCACAAATTAATGACGGCACAGAAAATACTCAGAAACACAGAAAACATTGCAAATAGTGTACTAGGGTCTTAGTTATGGGTTAGTTATGGTATACAGGGTCATTGTATCTCATGACGAGATACTTGGGTTGTTACTTGAAGGCCAAAGGGAAAAAATGACTTGTTTATAAGTATTTCTGATGAGATTTCCAACTTTAGTAACCCATTATAAATGAAGAATGTATTAGCACCAAAACTCTTGTTGTATGATTCATTCAGAGGTCGATCAGTCACTGTTAGGTTGCATCAAATTAAATCCATCCATCTACCTTTTTATAGTTTTCCCACCATGAGCATATTGACAAATTGATCCATCTGTTCCCTCAGGCCTTCCACGAGGAGTATTCCCGCTTGTTTGAGCTCTCCCAGGAGGAGACCACACCCCAGGAGGATGCTCGTCTGCAGCACGCTCTGGTCTACTTCTTTCAGAACAAGGCACCCAATCGCATTATTGAGAGGACGCTGTTGGAGCAGTTTACCGACCGCAACCTGAGCTTCGATGAAAGGTACACACAGATACAGAGAAATGGCTCATTGACGAGTCTCGGACATTATTATTTACATTGGGTAATGTTTTTAAAACTTCAAAACATGAGAATACAGATAAGCTATTGTCACAATCTAGGTGAGCTGACATTATAAAAGAAAGTGGATGAAAAACCCCAAAATCCAGAGAAACCTCTAAATTCTAAGACGTAATCTTTTCCAAAATTCACAACATGTTTTTATGTGACAAAATATTCGACTTCAATCCGTATTTGGTGGTGTTAAGCCTTTCAAAAACAACGTATTCACTGCTGTCAAAAGACTCTTTGCTCTCCCACTCGCCGCACATAAAGGAAGGCACGCACTCCCATTAACTGGGAGGTCTAACAGCGGGTGATGATGACACAAAACACCACTACAGACATCCAAATCTTTATTCAAAAGCCTCAATAGAAGCTTCGAATGTTAAAAAAAAAAGACATTTGGTGCAGACCTTTTTCTGTTACATTATATATAAACAAGTTATGAGGCTAAAAGCATTAGGAGCCGTGATGAATTGATTTGAAAACATTTAATGTTCGAGAGTTTTCTATCTGGTTGTTTACAATGTTTACACATAGCAGGAGTAGGTGAGTAAATAATGTAACGTGGCTTCACTCAGAGCAGCAGCACATCATAAGACTTAGAAAAGCAGTCCTAGAGCATTCAGCATGCTTATACCGCCATCTAGTGTCCAGAGCAGAGAACTGCATCACAGTGTGACTGTTCCTGTACCAATCCTTTTGTAAATTAAAAGCATCCATGATGTCCTTTCTGTACATGCAGGGCCATCAGTATCAAGAGGGAAGCTCGAACCAAGCTGCGCCTCATCAAGCCAGATGACATGGATATGGATGAGTACTTGGTGGGCTGATCTCTGCCATTTTGGATATTGACAGATACACTGTTCTTTGGGGATTTTTCTGTCCCATTTTTTGTACTAATTTTGCTGGAAATTATTCTGTCTCTGCTGCCGTCTTTGATTGCTTTAAGTTCAAGAAAAGTATACCAATCATCGATATGTAGACATAGACAGTAAATGTAAATTTGAGACAGACATTTGTCAAAAAAATATCGTCAATCAATCTTGCTACATACAGTATATGGCAGTGTACTGAAACAGCAAAGATATACGTTAGAGACATAAAATGAGGGACAGGCATCTGTTCAGTACAACTTCATGCCTATTGGACCAAAGGTTGACACACTTGAATGTAATACAAACTTAACATCAGATATATCACTTATTAAAAGGATACATCTGTTGCTTTCTTGTTATTAGATTTGTTGACAGTAATACAAATACAGAATATCGCCAGCCTTGTCCTTTAAGAGAGGAGTGAAATGGAATAAATTACTGCCTCGCTGAGTGACAGAAACATGTGATCACAAAATTGAGAAAACAGCGCAAATAACAAATGGAGTTTTTTGTCCTGTGTGCTCTTTCACAGCAGTGGCATGATGACTACAGGCTGTTCAGAACGGTGTTTGTCTACCAGCTGACTGGACTGGAGCACTACCAGCATGGGAGGTAGGTGTCGAATGTAAACCACCACTGCACCGCCCGGCCAGCGTTACATTACATTACAGTCATTTAGCAGACGCTTTTATCCAAAGCGACTTACAATTCAGAGTCTATCACATTTCTACACCGTAGGCACAGCTACGGGAGCAATTTTTGGGGTTAAGTGTCTTGCTCAAGGACACATCGACATGCGACTAGCGGAGCCGGAGTTCGAACCACCGACCCTCTGATTGAAAGATGGCCCTGCTATCCACTTAGCCACAATGGCCCAGCATGTGCGGGTCAGATCAATAAATTGCAGATAATGACATGATGACCGTTGCTGTGTGTGTGTGTGTGTGTGCGTGTGCGTGCGTGCGTGCATGTGCGTGCGTGCGTGCTTGCTGCAGGATGCGGGAGGCACTGATCTTCCTGGCTCATGCGTACGAGACCAACGCCACCCTGCTGAAGAATGGAGAGAAACGTGGTGTGGACAAGTCTCTTATTGCCGTTTACAGGAGGAAATGCCTCACTGTGAGTAAGGCGTGTGTGTGTGACTACAGTACATTATTGTGAAGCATAACATCACTGAGCTCAATCCTTCTTCATAAAGGTTAGAATAACAATAAAGAGGTTGTTTGAATAAAAGTTACAATATGAAAATGTAACTTTGATGATGGCCTGCTGCATTATGGGACATTTCAGGAGTCATCAGAATCATAGCAGTCGTCCTCTGGAAACTATCGGTGTCCATGTGACATTTCATGAAATTTGGCCAATATTTACTGACATATCTTGCTCTGGAACAAACAGACTGGAGGACAAACAGACCAACATTGCTATATTTAGACTGTGTCACTAGCAGGACAAAGGTTTTAGATAAGAAGCACTTGGCTTAGTGTCCTACTTACAGTCTCAGTAGTTCATACAATGCAGTCAGCATTACGGCCATTTTTGTTTTGTTATATTTGAAAAAGTGACGATGAAGTTGAAGTTCAAAGTTCATCATTGACCCTGGAACCAGAAGTTGAGATAAAAACCTCACCTCAAATCCTGTTTAGTATCTGTTCTGGAGCTTCCGATCATATGGCATAAACATTTTTTAATTTCTCATTATCTCATGCTTGATTAGGGATGTAACTTTGCTACTCCGAGTCCTCCTTACTGTGCTCATTATCCCAGCCAATCTGCACCGCCCGATATGCTACAATAAGCATTAATGAACCACTAAACCCGACCCAAACTGCAAACTTTATGCATTATAGTAGCCCAATTGTCAGAACTGAAGACTGAGACAAGCTGAGTGAGCGCCACTGCCAAGGAGTGCAGTGTGAGTGTGTTTGAGAGAGAGAAAGAGAGTGACAGAGGGAAAGAGAAGAATGAAGGTGAAGAAAAACAATGCATATTAAGCTCTTTATTCATAGAATAATTAAGGTGATGGAGAATATCAGGTTTTGATCATTAACTTGCAAATGTATATATCAAGAGGCACCAACACGTAACCATAATATCTACTCAATATCAGGCAACTCATCTGATTATGCAATGTTCTTATGAACTGATCACACAACTTGCAAATACAGAGGAAATCCTCGTGACAATAACTTTTACTCTCTCCTCCATCCTCCTCCTCCTCCTCCTCCTCCACCATGCAGGCATTGAATGAAAGTGCATCCCGGCTGTTTTGCAGCGGTGAGGAGACCAATGTGGAGGAGGGCATCGCCATCATGGAGGAGGCCGTCATCCCCTGCCTTCACCTGATGAGCCGAGACTCGGCTTTATCCCAGGAAGACAGCAACGCCATGGAGAGCATCCGCAGCCACTGGTGCTGCTGCCTGGGCCAGGAAATGGATGGTAAGATCAGTTGAATTGACACATTGTTAGCTCTTATTACAACATTATCAGGACACAGGAATGAAGATGAGGAGATGTAACTTCTTCTCTGAACTGTGCCAGTAGCATTTATTTGCGTAGTTTAGTCTAAGAAATGTGATATATATAGTACTAAATCGTCACACCAAGACTCATTCAAACACAAATATATATCAATAAACATTACAGTAATTAGTCTAACAGAAACAGTAAGCTAGGGTTACATATGAATGAGCATATTACTCCTCAGAGAAAGTAAGTAGCTTCACACATGTGTCATAGACCAGGTCACAAGTGCGATGGCGACACCCTGTGGTTAGACAACGGGACTACATTTGAAACATATGAGTGTCACATTACATTACATTTACTTATTACTTCATCCAGTCAATTACAGCCTGAGCATTGTGACAATACTGGAAATACCCCTCATCACACTGGGCACATACAGACGTGTGGTTAAAAGTACGAGATTCAAACATGACAACAAGCAATCGGCTCTTACTTTCTAGAATCAGAATCACAATCTGGACCACAGGAAGAAAGACAAGTGACTCCAAACTACAATGGAGTGCCAGTGCATGCTGATCTTGAGAACTCACTGTTCACACACAGAATCTGCTTATCAGCACCGGTAAAGCCCACCAATCAACACGTTCTGTATCATTGCTTTGATCTCTACACAAAAAAAGATTAGCGAGGTACATTCGTCATCTGTTATGCCTACAGAGCATCTTATTAAAGTGATATGCACACAGAAGAGTCCATGCCTTTTATACACCGATACTAACACTAACAAACATTAAACCAAAATGAAAAAGAAACAAAGCATTGTTACTGCTCTCCCTTTGTTTTCAGACTCATTGCAGGTGAAGCTGGGTGAGTTTCTGCCCCGGGTTCTGGACGGTTCAGCTGAGACAGTAGTTCTTAAAGACCCACCCAAAGTCCATGTCAACCAGCAGGCCCACGACCTGTGCAGTCGCCTGGCCGCTATCATCGAGTCCATCCACAGCACCTCGATAGTCAGCGTTAAATAAAGTCCCGAATGAATCCCCCAACAACCTCCTTGAGCCGTGCGTCCGACCTGCAAGCAACTTGGCCGATGATTCATCCTGTGCTGACAGACTGGGGTTGAGACAGCGTGTCGTTTTCAACGAGCCAAATCATGTATTTCATTTTATCTGCTGGTTTAGCATTGCGCATGCATATCATTGATGGTTTATCATAGTAAACTGTAAGCACTTTTTAGGGGTAGATAGAGGATGAGGCAGTGTTGTTACCACGTGATTGCTGGAAAAACCCTCCACAGGATGCACAGGTCTCGACATGATCATGAATCCTCTGTATTCTTCAGTGTATGCCTTCTGCCTGCTCAGCACCATCAGAAACCCCCAGTGTGCTAAAAATACAGTACGCTGCTTGTGTACTTTTTAAGTATACTTAAAAAATCATAATGGCCTTGAAGTAGCAGCAGGTTATGCAGAAAAGGCCCATATGGTAGCAACTCACTGTAATTGTTTTTTCTCCAACGCCCCGTCAGACATCATTTAAATTCTGAAATCATGTTTTAGACCTTCAGTGTCCAACTCTCTTCGACTATAAATACATCCTCTTAGTACCCACTCCACCCACCTTCTGTCATGGACAGTTTTGATAGTAGGCCTACGTGGTGACTCTTTTTCCGAACAACTGCAGAGGGAACTGTAAAGATTAATATCACCGTAATCAGCTTCTCCTCCAAAAAGGCCTTTGTGAAATCAAGCTGCCGAAGAAATAAGATGTCATCAGTAAACAAACACGGAAGCTTGAGTCTCTGATTGGCACTCTGAATGTTTTAGTGGCTGGCAAACTTGTTAAATTTAAATACTGGCGACAACTGAACAGTTGTCACTGAATATTGTCACTTGATTGGTAGGATTTATTGTGTTGCTAAGCAGTGTGAACGCACAATAAGGCCTTTAATTAAACAGGGCTTTAAAAGAAAAACACTAGATTTGTACTCCACAGCAACAAATGCTTTTTTTTAAATATATGTTTTATATTACTTTGTATTTTTCCAAAACAGGAAATTTTACTTGTAGGTGAAGCTAGTAAAGAAATATATCCACAGTAACTATGACGCATAAATATATGAAGGGCAGAGCATCCTGTACAACTTTCAAAGAGAGCTGCTCCACGCTCAGATGTGCTGATCGCAGTAGATCTGTGCACTCTAACTATCAGTCTGTGGAAACTCTTCTTTGTTTAGGTCTGACGGTGCCCTGTTGGACATGCACTTTGCTCAACAGATTTTTGTGTAAACTATGTAAACCCTCTGAAAGGAAAGATAACGGAAAAGAGAGGAAATCCTTTTTTTTTTTTTTTTTCTGGTGTCCCAGATGCAATGCAGTATCGCAAATGAATCCTCTGATTGAGGGTTTTCAGCCCTGCAACATGGAGCCAATTCTGGCTGCTGATTTCACGCTGCTTTGTCACTTGTACTCTGCGATGATACTCATTAAATGTTTTAAATACTCTGTGTACTCCATTATCATTGACTGCTTTCGCTTGAGTACGATTTGCTAAAACTGCCCAGCTGTTGTGAGGAATAGAAGTGAAAATAGAAATGTATTTGTGAGCCATTTTTAGAGATTTACACCTTCAGTAGGAACTAATGGAAAGGTCAGGGGAGCTAAGTAGTATTGTGAGAGACCGACTAATGCGCTGTTGGTTTTGGTCTTTTAATGTGATTCAGTGACATTAAGAGAAATACAAAATACTTTCAGGCTTATCAGTTAACATATATAACTGTTTCCTGACCCCCAGCCATTTAATCTTTAATAATTATTAGGTCATGAGTGATTTTATTGCCACTGGCTTATTTTGTTCTCCCTCATGCACAGATTTGGTCCTTGCATGGCCAGCTGCAGTGACATTGCTTGTTCTACCTCTCAATCTGCCCGCCCCATGTCTTATCTTAAGTGCTGGAATTCACTGTTATTTTCATGGCTTTGGATGGCAATTGCACACATAATCTTTCCAAATTCTCATAAGCCCCTTCTACTGTATCTGTTGTGTAATACTTTACTACAACAGTGTGCTGTTTTTCAATCAAAGATGCAATTATACTAAGATCAAGATGATAGCAGTGAGTCAGGGTCAGTGCTGGGGTAGATTAAGCTCGGATTGTTACTAGTCTTTGTTCTTTATAACGGCTCTGTTGCAGGATGCGTGTCTATAGCTGCCCTAAAGTGACAGGACATGCATTGTTATTATTCCACCTGAAAGTCCATCATTTGAGGAATGTGGTGACATAAAAGTCCAACATTTCCTTTGTTACATTTTGCAAAAATAGTAGTAATATGGTCTTACAGCTCATTTGCACTCAACACATTGGTAGCTCACTATTCTTTTCACACAAAATGAAATAGTCCTGTCATTGTCGTCATGGGAGCATGACCAGTATTATCCTGAGGATGTTTCAGACACCATATTCAACAGAGCTTCTTCTCAAGAGTTGCACTTAGTATTAAAGTATGAAATAGTATTTTTCAGCTGAGTTAAAGACAGGCCCACGATAGGCAAGAGCAAATGAAATGTCTTTGTGGAGTATGTGACATCATTAAATCAATGTTAGTCAGAGTTTAACATGTTGGCTAAGACATCAGCCAGCTAGAGGAAAAACAGATATGTCACAGCATGAAATTGACATAAACATTTGGAGTGTGTCTGGCATCAACATGGACTCTGGACCCTTTATACAAACAGGATATATCCACATTTCAGAAATGGAGATGCCTTAAATAATATTGGACAGCAATGAATGGACTGCACACTGTTGTACAGTTTGTGTGCTGCAGATCAGAGAGGTTTAAATGCATGTGTTTTGCATTAACAGTGAAATGGGCTGTAAGCAGTGTCCACTGTGAGTGGCTGCAACATTGAATAATGCAGCCTAAAAAAAAGCCTGTATTGTACTTAAGTAAAGTACTTGAGTAGTTGCATTCCACCACTGCGTGAATAGTGTCTTTACGTTGCACGATTTGACACTTTTCTCAATGTGAATCGTTTATGCTTTTATTTTGAAATGCAACACGCCCAACCGGAAACGTTCTTTTAACGACTGTAGTTATCCTCACCTGCCTCGGGTCTCCACCGCAAACATCCCGGGGAAGAAGAAAAAAAGAGAGAAACCCGATGCCTGGCGAACTTACCTAACAGCGAGAGCAAAGCCAGCTCCCAGGTACGTTAAATATGGCGGCGTTTGAGTAACGTTTAGTGGCTCGACTGCTTGAGGGCTGAACGAAGACGTTGTTGATAAGCGGAAGTTCGTTCAAGCAAAACACACACACACACACACACGGTGCGGTCAAGACGGTGTCAATTGTATTGTCTTGTGCAGTGTGGAGAGAAGACCGACTTGGAGTTTAGGAGTTAGAAATAAATCAAAAGGCACGTCGACAAACAGGTAAGATGAAAAACAAAATGTAGTCGTAATTGCACAACAGATGAGCGAATTGATGAGCAATCCCGTTGATTAGTTAGCTCACTAAATGTGCTAAGCTACAGGAGTCGCTGTCTGCCGTTTAATAGTGTTACACTTTTTACTGATGTTACTACTTATAACCATGACAAGTGGAGTTGGTGTCATGCCTCGTTCATGCACCAGAATATTTTTACTTTAATGTTTGCAGTTTTCTCTTCCGGCTTGCACGAGACTGGGAGTAAAATAACCACAAAGTAGCTTTCTGTATCAGCTGAACTCGGTAAACGGATCCTGCTAAATTAACGTTACCAGTGTTTCTAAATATACACAGAGGGGTGAAGTGGTACCCCTGCAAAAAGGGGATCACAGGAGGACTCGGTGCCCTGCACTCCCAAGTTGGATCAGTGTATGTCTTGTATTTTCTGGGGGCATAATGCATCACTCTAAACTTTGCATTTAGATTCACAGCTCTGCATTTGAAGCTGTGACCAACAGCTACATTTGCACTTCGAGTTCATTATGGAAGCTGCCTTAATAATAACAGTTCCCAGACTTGTGTATTACATCTTTCCTGTTTGGCTCGCTGTCTCTGTTACCTTCATGGCCAAGTTGTTTCTAGATTCGGAAAACCAGTGGGTCGTGTTTGCATGACGTTGTTGTGGTTAGTAGAGATGAGCTGACATGTTAGAGCTACACATACAGTATCTAGTGGCCAAAGGTATATGGACAGTAGAACCTTTATTCCATTCTTGTGCTTATTGCTGAGTCCATCTTTCCCAAGCTAAGGGCATCAATAGAGTATTAACATAGCAGCCTCTTTTCTACTAAGTTACTTTTTGATGCCTTTGTGATCCAAGAAGCATCAGTGAGGTCCAACGTTGACGTTGGGTGAAAAGATCTTCAGTGTTCCAGTTTATCCTCAAAGGTGTTTTGGGGTTGACGTCAGGGCTCTTTGGAGGCCAGCCAGGTTCCTCCACATCAAACTGGAAAAGAAATACGTATATTTATGGACCTCGGTTTGAAACAGGAAATGACCCTCTTCAAACTGTTGCCTCGAAGTTGAAAGCACGCTATTGTCTATTGTACAATAATATTTCCCTTCATTGGAGCTAAGGGACCCAAACCATGAAAAACAGACCAGCGGTGCATACAAGTGGGCCGGTGTGTCCATATATCTTTGGTCATGCGGTTTATATTGAAAGGCTGATGAGCTGGAGCCAAATTTGTATTTTTTTCTTCAGTATTTAAAAATAGCTTTGACTCAATTTTCACAACAGAGTCACAGAATCACACGTTGCATGGACAATGACAACAACTAAATCAAGTGAGGTTATGCACCGTGTGTCACAACCTTACTGTATGTTCATCCAGGGCTGGGTGATGAGGAGAAAAATCAAATAAATGTGAAGTAAAAATTATGCAAAGTAAGACAACTGTCTGCATTTTCTTTGCCATTAGCCTCCCATATGATCCCAGTTTTATTGTTTTTATCACCTGTTCACTGATGAGCTCTGAGATCAAACCATGGGACTGTTAACTAGTGCTTTATTAAAGGAGGGCCAAGTAGTTAAACCTATACACAGTAATGTTTAAAGAATAATGCAGAGAGAGCAAAGCATAAACTACAGGATAACACAATAGATCAAAATATAAACCTTTTCTTTCTGTCGGTTATTGGGGTTTATGTATGATTTCTAACTTTAAGGCGTTTTACTGAAAATATTTGATGTTAAACGATATTTTCTATTCTGCTAGGTACTAAATTATTGTGAGGAAAAATAAACTGGCAGTACAGTTTGTGCTATTTTTAAAACTCCCTTCATTTGTATTCATACGTTATCGTGTTCCCCATAATAGTTCTTTCCTCCTACTGCTCCCACTCACACACATGCAGTGAGAATTGCTGCTCTCGCCAACTCTTCTGGCTTTGCCAACAGCATGTTTGAGCAAACATTATTGTGACCGACGGACGTCTCTCCCCCCTCCAAAACAGGTTTACTGTAGGCGGTTGGAATATTTTTGGTTTCCCTGAAAACGGGGGAGTTTGTTGTTGAACGTGAACAGAGAGCGATTGATGGGTCAGAGGAAACATAATGTTTTAATTGCAGTTGTTCCATCTCCCATTTCTACCCACCAGGTGCTATGAGCAGTGAGCTGAACGTGCCCATGGGGTCCCCGGCCCCGGGGGTCTCGGAGCGATGCCCGGGTGGCGGCGGAATGGACTACAGGGACTGGGTGCGGCGCAGTTACCTGGAGCTGGTGAGCTCCAACCACCACTCGGTGCAGGCCCTGTCCTGGAGGAAGCTCTACCTGAGCCGGGCCAAGCTGAAGGCCTCCAGCAGGACCTCTGCACTGCTTTCCGGCTTCGCAATGGTCAGTCATACTCGGCGCAACACAACCTCTCTTTATGCTTCATCCAATCAAACGTTTTCAGGTTCTTTGCTGCTGTCCTGGCAGCACATGGTTTCACTTCCTTTCAATACCATAAGAAATATCAAAAACCAAACATAGATAATCCACCACAGTGACGTGTGGAAACAAAGCTGTGGGCAGCACAACACTTACAGTGTTGTGCTGCTGAACAGCAACCGTTATGCTTATATATTTTGTTCTGGATTTAATTTTCTGTTAAATCATCATGACATTGAACAGTGCCTGTTTGGGGCGTGGCCATTCAAAGCGTGTGCCCGTTCGGAACGACTTCTTGGCTCCTAGTAGTGCCGCTTGCAGCGAAGTCGGGTGGTGTTGCCATTAGGAGCACGTACCTAGTCTTTCAGGATGTGTCCCCACTCGTAGCGGGCGGATTTCTTGGCCCCCCCCGGAATTCCTGCTCATTGCTTGTTGACTGTAGGGAAGTGAAGAAGAGTTTGTTTGTAACGTTAGTGTATCCAGCATCTGTGAGGCGTGGCCTGTAAAGGGCCTGCTGCAGACGACACGCTGGACTCCGTGAAGCCCCGCCCCCGCTGCTGCACAGACCGCCATTTGCTTGTTTTGTGAAAGTTAATTGGACTTTCCAAATTGCACCAACTTTGACTCAAATTTGAGCATTCGCAGCTTGTGACTGTTATATGTTCTGTGTCCGTGTTAGTGTGGTAGATTGCTCTAAATACTACGATACCCATGAGCCTCAGACACTTTTGCTATGGAGAACAGAGATGAAATTCAGAGCACTTCATCTAGCATTGACCCAGAATGTGAGATTGAACCTTCTTGAACTACTGAATGTTTAATCAGGTTTCTACAAAGTGTAATCTTTACTTTTGACTTTTCCTTTCGGGGCACTGTTAGAACAGGTTTCTGTACATGCACAGTGTTTTGATGTGAGCCTTCTCTGGTAGTGACGTACACATGGACAGATAGTAACCTGGTTATCCATGTCCCTTTTTAAACATAGGTGGCCATGGTGGAGGTGCAGCTGGTGATGCATTACAATTACCCTCCTGCGCTCCTCATTGCCTTTAGCGTGTGCACCACCGTGCTGGTGGCGGTGCACCTCTTCGCCCTGCTGATCAGCACCTGCATCCTTCCCAACGTGGAGGCCGTGAGCAACATCCACAACCTCAACTCCGTCAGCGAGTCGCCCCACGAGCGCATGCATTACTACATCGAGCTGGCCTGGGGCTTCTCCACAGCCCTGGGCATCCTGCTGTTTTTAGCAGAGGTGGTTCTCCTTTGCTGGATCAAATTCCTGCCTGTAGACTCCAGCGGGGGCCAAAAGGTGACCAGCTGCTGCGCCACAACGGCCACCGCCACGACGAAGCCCACACCAGCCCCACATGTGCGGCAGGACAGCGGTTGGCAGGCTGCTCTGGCCTCCACCATCATCATGGTCCCAGTGGGGGTGATTTTTGTGGTGTTCACCATTCACTTCTATCGCACTCTGGTGCACCACAAGACGGAGCGCCACCACCAGGAGATCGAGGAACTGCACAAGATTAAGATACAGCTCGACGGCCACGAGAGAGGCCTGCTGACTGTGTGATATCAATGACTGCAGCTTTAAAAGGACTTCCCTTCGTGTCTCATATTTATCTCTTTTCTGACATTTGTTTTGGTCCTCATTACCGCCTCGCTTGGACTCAGCTTTAAAGCGCCTCACTGTGCTGCGCAGAGAGCCAATACATGTCAGACTGCTAATTTATTCTAGGGGTAAAGTTGCGTTGTAGGACCTTGTCTGTGTTTTACATCTGTTACATCTGTTGGTCAAGGATCATGTAAATGGTTTACAGAAAAAGGGCTATTATGTGAGTGCCATGTCTGTGTTTTTTATTGTAGGGTTTGGTGACGATAGCCAGTTACATTTCAGATCTGGTTCCACATTGGATTCACTCCGAGCCGAACGGATCTCTTATTGAATCTTTTATCTCACACCTTGTTAGGAAAGAGCTGCCTTCACTTTCACCAGAGAAAATGTGGTAAACGCCATAAGTTACTTGCCGCAACGCCAAAATGACTTGTTTGATTATTGTGCTCTCTGTCAGCTGGTTTCTGTGCTCAGCCAAAGATTGTTTGTTAGCGAAAGAAGATGAACCACTCTGACAGCAATCCAGGATCAAAAGCTGCTAACAGATACTTTGAGTTTCACTTATTTTCTAAATCTATTTCCAGGTTAAATGGATTCACGAAGAGATTTAAAAAGATTTGGATAAGATGAAATTGTATTGAACCCCGACCTTGGCGCAGACATAATGTGGTCAGGTCTCACTGTTAATACTCAACCTGCCCCTCAGTCTGGCTCACATTTCACATTTGCTCGTTGTTTTAACTGTAAAGTGCCGAGTCATGCATCACAACGCAGGGAACGTGGCTTACGTCTGACTAACTGAGGCCGTTTGTAAAGTCTTAAAATGTTTTTGCATTCTTGTAAAGTTGTTGGGAAGTTTTTAGGTCCAACATCTCAAATGCCTCAAACCTTTTGTCCTTTTCCTTACGAAGACCATGGCGCATGTGTAAAAAAAAGAGTTGTCTATTCTGCAGACTGGTGATGCTCAAAAATGCTTAAATATGAATGTGTCAAATATAGTTCTGCCTCACAGAATTATTGCCTTTTCTGAACTGCTGTTTTGCTAAAGGTCACAACACAAGCTGATCTTTTTTTTTTTTTTTGCTGGGAATGTATTTGTGCGAGACAAAGTTTAAATGTTGAGTCGAGGAGGATGGAGATGAGAACATGTTGTAATCAGCATTACCTTGTCCCATCCAGTTTAAATAGTAATCATGGAGACATTTCAGTAAAAGTAAAATAATCTACACAGAGTTGGCACTTTCTTGGATGAGGTCAGATTATGTTACTGTGTTTAAAAAATCAATAAAAATAAACTTATCACATTCCAAATAAGATGACTGACCAAAGTGCTGCTCAGTTTGTTTCTGAGAAGAGACAGAAGTGCTCTTGTAGTTTAGTTGTACAGTGAGTGAGAGAATATCTTGCTTTCTCGTGTTTTGAGCTTCTTAAAGGAATACTGCAGAGGTCAGGGAGACCTGTGTTGGGAAGATGAAATTCACAGCCAGACGTCAAAAAATAAAAACGATATTGAAGTTTTCATTGTCTCCTGTGTGTGTGTGTCTATGACCAATCTATGACTTTTTTGACATACTGTACCAACGTTTTGTCTAACTTTACACAATGTGCATCTGTTTTTATTTATTTACATATTCTTCCTTAAATAGCGGCAAGACTCTTGTGACAACAGTAACTTCCCCTTCCTGACAAGTCGTTCAAGTGAGAGACCACAGATGTGATACTTTCATATTTTACAAACTATGAAATTTCAACAGATTAAGATCACACTCAAAGTTCCAACCAAGTACAATTTAATGCCTATACAGAGTCACAGAGAAGACAACCGAAAAAATCTTTTGAAACCAATTTCAGTCTAGGAGCCAAAACCCTCCATGACAGCACGTTTAGTCAGTAACATGACTCCAATATTTGATGATCATGAAATTATCTTTTGCTGTTGAGTCTCACTTCTATTTGCAAAAATTACAAAATCAGAAACCAGGAAAATAGAAATGACCTGATGTGTTGTACACGCTCTTCCCCTTCTAAAACTATACACTGCACCCACCCAACCCTACCCAAAGAATAGTTTAGAGTCTGCCTGCACATTCTTTTCAGTCCAGCAGAGGGCAGACAGGATTTTCATGCTACAGTCTGGCAGCCAAATTGAAAATTTACAAACCACCATCAACATTTTACCAGCAACAATTTTGAATAAAAGAAAATCTCAGAATGATGGTAAAATCTTAATGTCTGAAAAAGGGACGCAAACCTTCAACCATCGTTTACCTGCGTCTGGCAGCTATGTGGTATTAACTCCCCCCTTTGCTTTACATGCATAGACTACATATGTACTACATCGTCAAAACCTTCAAAGCCACAATAAACATTAATTCATACACAGCCTCAGCAAGAATACAGGTACAGATAATACAGGCCGTTCTACGTCACTCTGGAACAGCCAATTAGACAGGGCTAATTTAGTTCAAAATAAATATGAGCCTTTGACAAATTAAATTAGATTATATTTAGAAATATCTTACAACAGAAATAACTGGTTCACTTATGCCTTCATGATGTCTCACGAGCTGAAAATTGAAACTCAAGGAAACTCATTTTGCATTTTGTTGTGAGTGCAAATCCAAGTGAACAAGTTACTGAATTTGTAAGATAACATTTATAGGTTTGAAATGGCAAAAAAGTGTCACATTTTCCCATTAGGTAGACTATCCAATTTCTAAAGCTTTCGTAGCTTTAAAATAAAATGTTGGTTTACAAAGTTCATAAATTTCCCATCTTATTCATTCACAATTTCCTTTCTGACAAAAATGACAGAATAAGCGAATATTATGAAAAATACTCCAAACAGATAAATTGTGATAAAAGTGAAAATTCTGGTTGATCTGTTGCATGACAACCGGTGCCCACCGTGGAATGTTCAACAAAATGTGAGGAGTGCTCGAGGTGGTTATCTAAATTGCATGACCTCCTTTTCAGTCATTTTCTGAACGGCATCATTTGACTCGTACAACTCAAACTGGAAACTCAGAACGGCCGGGGGTGTGCTAATCAATTATTTTCAGATCACAACTTAAATATTTTGTCATTTTGTTTGAGAGCAATCTGTACGTCTTCAGGTTGAGAGGAATGACTGAAACAGACTTGGATAGAGCGTGGATAGATGATGACATGGTTCAGGTAACATAATGTGAAATAAAGATATGGTGTCTTAAGCTATTATCATAGTTTAGTTGTGATCTGGAGTAAATGCACTTTAATGACTAGAAACCGTAGCTTATCTGAACTTCCATTTTTTAACCGTGCAAAAGTCGACCCATCTTGAAATGTGTTCTTATACAAAAATATTTTCAAAAAGACAGCAAACTCAAACCACTGACACACTTTCTAAAAAAAAAAAAACACATCTATAGTCAGACCAAATTGAAAAAAAAGGACAATATTTGAGAACACTTATCTGGTATATTGTTACTTTGTTAAAATAAAGTCAAAAGCTGCTGTGATAGGCGCAAGTGTTGAGCGGGAAATCCAAACAATAGGACAGTGTGCATCTGTGTGAACCGATAAAGGCAACAAAAGAGAAAACAAGAAAAGTCGGCATGCGGATGAAGGACTAGCGTCACACAGTAAGGCAACTGAACACCTCGGTTGGCTTCCCCGTCTAAAAACTCCACAAAATGACTCCTGGACAAAGATGCTCATTGTTCATTGTGAATGCAAGACAGAAATCTGTTAGGGAGATTTTGCTCCCTAACAGATTTTTATTTTATTCTGTTTTGTCAAGAGTTAAGGATTACAGCACATGCTGAGGACACTTAAGTTGTTCTTGTGCACTGCTGTTTTCCCTTATAGACCTTTGATTTAGATAGAAACAACTGATAATGTACTGGAAGGTTCTGTACCAGTTATTCAAACTATGTTGATCATCACGGAACATGTTCTGTGTACTTTGGGGAGATTTTGACAGGGTTGCTGGAGTGTCTCAGAAGTTTCATTTGAAACATTTAATCATCAAAACGTCTGCACTTATTTTGAGGCTATGCGACAAGTAACTTCAAAGTGAGCTTCTTTAAAACTGAAGCTCTTTTTCCTTTCCTTCCTTCCTTCCACATTGACATCCATGTCCACTACCATGCACAGTTTGTCCCGATAACCTTCAACATTCACTTGCCACAGGGTACAAAACACAAAGGAAAAACAAACCGATATTATCAACTTGAGAGCTAACATAGCTTATAATCAGTCTAAGGCAAAACAAAAAGAGAACAAGTAGTGAGTTGGTGAATTTAGGAGGTTTCTGCCAAAATACTGTGTGTAGACTATCAGTTTGTGGACCAAAGTCCTGTAGTTCATGCCAGCTTTCCTGGTGGGGGAACCCTCTGTACTCCTGCAAGGCCCGATTCCTTGTTTGGGTTCTACAAGGACGACTAACGGGGCGCTTTACACTCTGAAGCTCTCTCCTTTGCCGTCTATGTGGCGCAGACGCAGGTAGACGTCGGTGCCGATGCCCTGCATAGACTGCACAGACAGAGAGCCGCCCAGGTATTCGGCATAGGCCCTGGACGTGGGCAAGCCGAAACCAAACCTGCATGGCACAAAGACACAGACAGCGGGGTTAACGTGACAGTGAGGCACAGTGGTTGAAAATGATCTGTTGTCTGTAAAACATGAACCCGAGCGTGGATGAAGCGGAGGGCAGGTTCTGTGCAGAACTGTGAAATGCCACCTGCAGGTAAATACCGGTGGCTATAACATACAGGAAGTCCCTGCAAAAGCCTCCTGGAGGCATAATAAGGTGGCTTGGATGTCATGATGACTTCGACCATGTTGACACCAATGCGAGTACACATAATACACGACCGTTCAAAAGTTTAGAATCAGCTGTTATAGTGACATTTTTCTTATTCTTTCATTCAATAATGTTTATTTTAGTAACAAAGGTATTATTCAGACATCCTTTTAAAAACATCCAAATCTGAGTTGCAATCATTAACCCCAGTAACGTTCCACCAATCTTGTTCATCGGCAATAAACTTAAGAAATTCTGCAAAGGAAGAAACGAGTACGAGCCAATCAGGGGCAGAGTAGGGCGGGCCTTCAGTGAACGTCGAAGGGTGAAACCATCAATCAAACTACCGTAAGTAACCAGACACTTATCCAGACACGTACATGCAGCCTGAGGTGTGATCATCAGGTTGTTGACATATTAACAAGCCAACACTAACACAGATATGTTACAAAGGAAGGATTGGCATAGATTCCCTATTTCGTCAACATTTCCTGAACAAGGACATTTGGTACTTTCAGATTCTCACCCATGCATAGGGCTGGACTGGTTTCCACTGTTGGTAATGTTGTTGAAGAAGTTGCTCATTCGGGGGTCCTGTGCACTCTCCTCAGCCGTGCTGAAGTGGTAGTCCATCACCTTGTCTATTATAGTGTGAGGTATGCCGCCACCACGGTCAGAAATCCTTCAAAAGGAAAAAAGGGAAAGTTATTTTTGGAAGCTTTTAGCAACAGCAGTTGGCTCCTGTAAAATCCTTGCTGTTGTTCCTGTTTCTGACAAGAGTGGATGAAGCTGGATTTAATACTTGAGGGAAGGCATCAATGGCAGCGTTGGATCTTTTTTTATGCAGTCCTTTCCTTCTTTTAAACCAGTAGCTATTGGACAGATATCTAGCCACTCACCTGATGACAAAATCAATGTCGTTATTGGCAATGGTGACGACCACATCGGGCACATTGTACGGGGTGTCCAGGTGGCTTTCCATGGTTGCCCTGAAGAGACAATAGATGAATGTCATGTGGAGTAGATGCAAAGGACGCTCTTATCTCGGGTTGGCTTGTGGACATTGCTATGCTGAATTTAACCACTAGGTGACTTGACTGAACAACTGCTCTAGAGTGGAACTGACTCTTTTTTTTGGTTTTTCGACTAATCTCTTTTGTCTGCTTCAGTCCGTTTATAAACAAACATAATATTCTGTAAATCACATTATTGTATTACTTATTATAAGTGTGCTACAAGTGGGACTCAGCTCTGTGACACCGTCGGCACAATTTGCTGATGTGGGCTACTTGAGTGAGCAGATGTTTTTGTAGATAACAGAGAAGACATAATTTAAAGAAGACTCAAGCCAAAACATGTTGTACAGTCTTAACAAACCTGCGTTTGAATGAATGCGTCTCTACTTGAGCCACACATGGCTGTGTGGACTCTTACATGCAGTCTCACCAAACAAGACCTCACTTTAAAGTACTTTAACTTTGCAGTTCAACAAAGTGTGAAATGGACTGTCCTGACAGCATGTGATGTATTTTGTGTTATTGGGCGGCTGTGGACCAGCATCGCCACACTCAAGTGCCTCTCATAGAGATTCCACTAAAGGCTATTTTAGTGTCACTCTCTCGTTTGCGACCACTCAGATCATGGCTCGTGTCCATGATATTAACCGTGCAGTCCTGCATGTGCGAGAGCAAAATGTGCGTGTATGTATGAAGCAAGGTTACCTCATGGCGTTCTTGAGGAGCTCGGGCAGGATGTAATCCAGAGGCAGAGGGATGAAGGGGAAGCGAGCTGCAACGTGTCCGTTGATCCTCACTCTGGGAGAGTTACCGTACTGGTGCTCACACAGACGCCTGGTGGACGTGAGGAACCGTTAATGTTTACCATGGCCACCGTCCTGGTTTAGTGTGTTAGCGTGCCAACGCTTGCTAATTAGCAGTAAACACAGCGTACAGCTGAGGCTGATGGGAATTAGTTTTGCAGGTCATATTGCCCAAATTATGATGATTATGCTAGATTAAAAAGGAAGGTAAATAACATATTGTCATTTTCAAGCAGATTATTGGCCCACAAACTGAATGAACTTCTTTTGAACTCGGTAAAAATTCTAAAAAGAAGGTCATTAGATTAGATTAGAGAAGGTAAACAAAGACAATTGCTCATATCTCTTTCACAGCTCCAGGCACTAAAAAGCGTACACTCCGGGGAGTTTATCAGCTGAACTCTGACTTCTCTCAGTCAACAGAGTTCATACAGAAGCAGAAAAGTCATCTAAAGGTGATAAATACACAAAGCCGTGTGACCGAACGCTTACCTGGCAAAGTCCACCCACTTCTCCACTATCTTTTTGGGGGAGAGACGTCTGCATATCATCCCAACGAAATCAGCCTGAAACATGAACAGAAACAACTCACATTTTACTCAAATCAAAGACAGAAACTAAATATAAATAAAACATTTTTTGAATTGTATATCGACTAGTTATCTCAGTCCATGGTTTTAATGTCTGGGATTTTTCTTTCTCCTGCTGTATACTGTAGATCATGCTATTTAATTAATGAAATCAGTTACACATGCTTCCTTATCACTGAAAGCATTCCCCATCATGAACTAATGTTTGATAAAAAAAAAACACAATGACCAGCTGTTTTGGGAAATTACTGAGCTTTAAAAAAAGGTTTGAAAATAATTTGAATCACAGAAACACTCAGACGTACATTGTCTTCGTGAAGGGCGAGATGATGCGTGGCCAACATTCGGATTCCCAGACGAGAGCACAGTGTCGTATCCAGGAAGCTGCGTATGATTGCCTCGTCCTGCAATGGCAGGCAAAACAATACACACACAAGCTATTAATTATTACAAAATCATTAGAGGGGAAATACATTCCAACATTGGTGTTCATACCTGGATGTGTCTGCGACACTCTCTGAAGCCCTGGGCCATCATGGTGACCACATCTTTGTGGTCGTCCAGCAGCTGCTGCACCAGCTTACAGAAACGAGCCTCCGCGTCCTGATCCTTGATCTGTAGATAGTGCGGCACACTTCAAATCAGCCCACTAAAAAGCTCTATTTTATTGACTTGCAAGTATACATTGTATATATTTGACTAAGAGGCTTCCTTGTTCTCTGATGTGTACATATTAATTTGATATCAATGCAAACCCAACACTTCCTCCATGTTAGCCTGTCTCGATAAATTCAGCATGGTATATTGTGTCTACGCTGCTGTTTAAACAAGAACAGAAATATTTACATTTATACTCAAACCGTCCATGAAACTCTACATTTCCTGCACAAAGGCCTTCCAGCTGATCAAAGGGCATCTCCCATTATGTAACATGAATAAAAACAATATAATCCATCATGTCAGCTTTCACAGAACAGGAAACTCTGCCCCCTTTCAATGTGGTTTTCACAAAATGCCTCTTTTCCTGTTCATCACAGACCAGAACTTTTCAGATCACAATGATAAGTGTAAACGTAGGAACCAATGTGAGCCTGTGTGTCGACCATGCAGAACAGAAAACATGTTCAGCCGGTCTGTCACCACCTGCATTCATGTGCTGCCACAGGACCACATGGACACACTTGTCATATTTACTGTCACTGTCAACCAAGAAATAACTGAAGAGGACCGACCCACATTCCACACTGTGCATGTTTACTGAAACTGACCCCTGAAACTAAGATTGCACAAGCGGTCGTCTTTTGTTTGGAGGCGGTCCTCCATCATGATATAGCAGACCCTTGAATTTAACCAAATCTAAACTGTGTAAGAACTTAAATGGCACAACTATCCTTTTTTCTGAGTGCTACTGGGAATCATTTGTAGAAGAATAAAATAAACAAATAGCTTGTCAAAGATGTGGGTTTGCATCTTTTCTCTGATAATTCATAACTGTAAATCAAAACTCTATTTAGGGAATTTGTATCAGACCAAATCAGGAATTTGCAGATGTTCCTTTTATTCATTAGATTTAATGAAAAACATGCTGAAAATAAAGAGTTGGGGTGGCTGCATTCGGATTGACTAAGAGCTGAACACATTGACCAATCCTTGAATTGCTACGTGCAGGCAGATGAATAGACTTGACAACAAAATGTTCACACTTCCTGTTTACAGTCAGAAGTAAAACCACTTCCAGATAAATGAAGAAATTGAACTTGTGACTCTGTGTGTGTGTTTCCTGTGTCTGTGTGTGAGAGACTCACCTGGGGGAAGTCAATGAGCATGTGGTAGGCTCTGATATACAGTTCATGCTGCAAGAGAAGACAGGAGAGGCTGTAGTTAGACTTTGATCATCCATCCAACCATGAAGCATCAGACCCCCAGCACCAGCCCCCTGACATGTCCACATGTGGCTAACATTACAGAACATTTCAACACGTAGATGCTTCTACCTGTTACCAACAGAGTTGAACTCCTTCCCAGAAAAAAGAAAAGAAAAAAAAAAGAGCTTTGTTCCTCAGTTAAATTAAAGTTCAGATAACAGGACTATATCAAACGTTCATTCATAGTCTGGATGTGTATCTTTTGAAACTCAACCTCTATTGTTTTCTTTAGACAGATAAGGCGAGTCGAGCCGCCCTGGCCTACATTGCAACTGGTGGCGTACAAAAGGAGCTGCACATTATGTAATCCGCACAGAGGAGCTCCGGAGAGGAGGGAATCTGGGTGAAAGTTCATCATCAACAAGAAATGCAGAGACGGTGAATATCCGACCGCAGGGAAAAACACTGTTCCCGCACGGAGGACCAGGAGACAAACCAGAAACATGACACGTGTTGATCCAAAATCTGATAACATTTCCCTGTTTGTGGATTGGATTAGATTAGATATATACTTTATTCATCCCCAAGGGGAAATGTGTCTAAATGGATCTGGGTTTCATTAGCTGAAGACATCTGTGTGTGAGGCTTGCGCCAGCCACCACCTCGGCACATGGGAGTTTAGAAGGAATTTTGTTTGTCCAAAATGGCATTTGAAAACTTCCAACAGCAATGTGTCTTTCTAAGAAATGTGTCCTGGTGTTCCTATAGATATTCAACACACTTCAGTGTGGACATTTGTCTTTGAGGTGACCTCCTCCTGAAGAACAGCGTTAAGTAGAAACGTCCATAGTCAAAAAAAACATATTTTAAAAAAGGGTTGTAAGGAGCACTGGTTCACATTATATTCATTATATGAATCACATTTGTGATTTTGGCTAACTACACACAGCATATTATCTTAAGTCTCTTGTTATCTAAGGTTAGTGTAAAAAAAAAAAAAAGTTAAAACAACAAGAAGCATTTTTGTGGATTCAGCAAACTGACCCTTAAAATAGGACTAGGCGATATGGCCAAAATCTTCTATCTATAATGATATCACGATACAGCACGTTTTCTAGTAATTCAATGAATAAATAATCTATATGAAATAACCACAAGGTTTTTATATACTCGTCTGAATCAAATACTAGAACTTACTCTGTTCCCTGCTCTTATAAAATAAGAGCCTTCCTTATCGGTGATGGGTCATATTGACCCAAAAAGTGAATACTGAAGGTTACGTCTGCTGCCAGTGCACAAAGGACAACTTCTGAAGAGGTCAAAACGTACCATATCACAGTAAGATATCAAATGTGTCTAATCTGTGCTATGTGCTTTTAGACAAAGAGCCCTGTGTCTGCAGCCCAGCTACATTAAAGTCCCTTATGTTTTATGGCCGACAACAGAATTTAAATCTGCCACCAAAGCTGCCGACGATCTACATTTCTAAGAATAAGCAACCGTTAACTCACTGCGCAGCTTTCATAGAGCAAATTGCAGCTTTGCATAAAGAGAATGAATTGACTCAAACTGAACAATCAAACGTTGAAGCCGGCGGTGCTCCCAGGCCATTTTTTGTGTTGATAAATCTTTTCACTTGCTCGTGAAACGGGGGACAGGAGGACACTGTGTGAAAGCACTTTGAGACAGCATTACCCTCCTTACGTTCAAAGTTAAGCCATGATACTCCTGTGCAGTGCCACATTTATCACTTTCTTATTATAGAATCTGCAGCATGGCCCGACGCTCTCGCACGTCATGGTATAGAGCTGCAACGCCGCAGCAAAGGAGCGGAGCTGGCTGTGTCGTGTTCTTACCACTTGCAGAATGGTGGGGTTGCAGCCGATGATGAAGGGCAAGCTGCGGAAGCCCTTGATGCGATGGGCGATTCGTACAGGCAGCTCCTTGTGTAGGTACTTGGCACTGCTCTGAGATCAGACACACACACACACACACACACACACACACACACACAGGTGACAGTGGAAAGCAAGTCAGTGAGGAGTCACACAGATCAAAGAGCTTGTCAATAAAAAAAAAAAGGTAAACCTGGCGGTTCTCTCTCAATGTGGCGGAAATATTTACCAGGATGTGGTGCCCATCGGGAGACTTCCCAGAATACAGCAGGGTGGCTAAGGTCAGTCGCACCGAGGCCTGTGGAGACATTAACACGTGCGATCACATACACATTTAGAGTCAGGACTGCAGGTCACGTGGCACTGTGGGACCCATAAAGACTCTCCGCCATGAGCAATAACTACAAAAGAAAGAGCTGTAAAACATTTTTCCTGACCAACACACATTCATAAATAACCAGGGATGGGTATTAATGGGTTAAATGTATCAGTACTAGTGCTTAAACTATACCAAAGTTTCAGTACCAAGACCAGAAATATAAATTTTTTATACTTTTTCTATTTAACAAAAGAAGCCAACAATATTTAAATATTACCATTTAAACACAAGCAGATGTACAAAAACTTTGCTTAACTGGAAAATGTTAGTCTGAATTTAAAGGAAAAGTATGTTTAATTCTGTTCTATAAGAGCAAAACATTAATTTAATAGAATAAGCCTACACAAATGTACCCGTAGTCAGATCTACTTGTGCTCTAGATGGGGCAGTGATATTATAAGCCTGGTAATTTACGGATTCACACAGTCTGTGATATATTGCCTGGATGAATCATGGCCATCTCCCCCAGTAAGAAGTGACCCTGAGGTTACCTCACTAACCCCAAAATCCTGCTTCCTACTACAGGCTTCGGGCGTAAATGGGGCCTAGCTGGAACGCCTCAGTCCAACAGTTATTCATTTTGGACGCTGCGTCTGTGTTGACTCTGCTGTGACAGTGGGAAAAGATTTGCTCGTTGCAGAACTGGAAAGTACAAGATCCATGAACAACCACTGCAACGTCCATCTTTTGTTTTTCCACCCTTTTTTTTTAAATCCCTTTAATCATCTTGTGACCTCCTCCGGAGCCCTTTGCTGTGAACCACTACACCAGCTTTATGTGTGGCTGTAAGTCAGATGACCAAAAACTGCAGCTGACTATTATCGGCTACAATTGTGTTCTTGGAGATCAGTGGCTAAAGGCACTTAAATTAACAACTTTATCTGCACTTGACATGTAATAGTCGTATTACTTTGCACAACTACATTTTCATATTTGCAGCTGATGACCATGTTGGAGTAGGGTGGTGCAAATTCCTTCCTCATTTAACTGTGAAGAAACACTTGCTCTGTGTGTTTTGCTCTAAAAGCTGTTATTCAACAGACAGCTGGAAGTCACATGACTTTGACAAAATAGAAAGAAAGTGTGTTGTCTGCAGTTATGGCAAAATAGCCATAACATTTCCTTAAATACATAACGACATATAAGTGCTGACTTTATCATGAACTGAGTCAACTTGACCTCCATCGCAGAAACTTAACACCAGATTAAACCAGCTTTCTATTAAACATATTTTCTAGTACTGTCAACACCAGAGACATCATTTATTAAAATGATGGCGTCACTTTGTCAGCGATTAACGAAGGTCGCGAGCTAAAAACATAATGTTCTCACGAAGACCCGTGCGATGCATTCAGGGCCTCCGGGAGGGGGGGGGGGGATAGAGCTAACGTAACGGGATTAGCAACTTTTGAGTTACAATAAATATGTATTATAATTGTACACATAATCATAAACAATGCATTGTCCTGGAAATCAAACAGTAGCTACTTGTGTTTTAGTTTGATATAACGCTAAGCTGGACTTTCCAATTTGTTTTATTTTAAATAAAAGACATTATTCTGTAAATGAATCACATATATTTTATAGGTGAGAGCTTTCTCCAGATTGGAGGAAGGCATATACTTTAAATCGGGTCCCAAGTATTAACGTAATTTTGCTAGTTAGCTGTAAATTACGAAGTGACTTCGTATTCGTTGCCTTTTCAGTGTCCGTGAATGCATCACAAACCTAGCTAGCAGCTAGCAGTACCATCGAGCTACAGCCGGCTACAGCTAGCTTACTCCCTCGTAGTGGCAGCAACGTTTCGGAAGAGTGCACCGGCCAACATGTCACATTCTTACCTTTTCTGCGGAAACGTCAATGGCAGACTGGTTGTAAAACGACGTGACAGTCTTCGACCGCTCTCTTGCCATCTCTGAGAATCCCTGCATCGAGGACGTGGAGCGAAATCTGCGGCTCCCCATGCCTGACATCGGCGGCACTGTTTTGGAGAGGCTGGCCAGCAGGAGGCTGCCGAGCCTCGGCCTGGCACCGCAGGTAGCACCGCTCAGCATCTCCGCCGCTATACCCGCCAGGCCCGGACGCATATTTTGGAGACGAGCCGTGTGAGTGAACAGGGCTGCCCTGTTCCCGTACTAGCACTAAATGGTTAAGAGGGTCGCTACGGGGCCATTTGGGTTTGCGTCGAACTGGTGCACAAAGGCACGTATCTGGATACAGTAGAGAGGGTACAGAAAGGGCTTTGCGCGCATTGGCCAGAGAGGGGAAATCTGGGGGCGACACCATGACAGCT